AATTTATTATTATAAATTGCACTTAATAATAATTGAGATCAAGAAAATTACCGTATCAGATTTATTAACTTATTCTTAAAGGATTCTATTAAAATAAGAAGAAACGTAATAATTAGGAATGAGATTTTGATCAATCAACGATTTGATGTCGTTTTTCTTTCTTTCAGCCAAAGCAAGCTTAGCTGCATAAAGAGGTTTCAATAGATTGTTGGCATAAGGAACTTCGTACCTACTACTGTTGTTCCAATTAAATACAAACTCTCTGTTTGGCTTAAGGGAAGAATGACACAAAACGAATAATGACATTGTGAATTAATAATCGACAGAAATAGTTCAAATTCCGTAACACGAACATCGACACTAAAATAAAAATGACAGTATGTCATCCCAACATAGCAATTTTTACAAAATAATATAGCATAGTATAGTCGCTCGTGCAAGGTTATATCGATTAATTTAAGAATAATCTGTCAAATCGGTAATAACTCAGCGGCCGTACTATAATACACGACACTTATCAAAATGTGACGGTATTCGTATTAAAGTTAATTCGTACTTACGAAATATGGTCAATCCAAATCGCCTTTAATCAGAAAATGTCACTATGGAATACACTAGATGAAACCGTTTTTATTAACTTCACAGTCACGAATGAAAAAATGGCGGTCTGTCATAACAGATCGTCTCAACATTGTCGATAAAGCAGTTCGACACTAACGCCATTTACCGATGAATTGTTGATGAATTGATGATTATAGTTACAACGACAGGTGTTTTTCCAAAAAAAATAGTGTCTTTGCGCGCTAAGAGATGGCACTCCTAAGAGAAAAACATCATTTTTCGTATAGTGACGGTCTTCTTATCAATGTGCGATATATATATTCGGTCATCTTTGCTTTGTTTCTCGAGAGAGTCAAATTTAACTTTCATCTCATCGTACTGTTTCGATATCATATCAATGGATTCCTTTATTTCATTGTTTTGGGATAGGATTTCCTTCATAGCAGTATGTAATGATGAAAGTTTGCTATTATATTGTTCTGAAGTCTTGGTAAGCATCCCTTTAATTTCCTCCATAAAATAATCCATACTACTATACTTTTCTTCAGTTTTACGCCTCAAAGTAACATTATCGTTATTAGGGGAAGGCATGTCAGGCGAGGAAGTTGCGCTATTTACTAGAGATGCGACCGCACCTGCATTTCTATTTTTGCTCTTGTCCACCGGAAGGGTAGTGGGGGGCGGTGTACGTTAGAGTGGCATATTAATACTTCAAGAGAAACAATATCAAAATACTAGGAGCTCAGGATTTAGCTAATGGTAGTAAATGCAATGTCGCCGCAGGGTCAGCTAATCTGGTCGATGATCGACGATTTCATACAGAAACTCGTTCCGTCCAATTTGCATAGACCCTTTCGTTAGGACAGTATGTACATATTACGAACACGTTTTATGAATAGCAGTGGTGACTTATGACACGGTAGTTGTGGGTTGTGAATGCATCAATTCATTAAGATGACGGATTTCTCGTTCCCACTTGATACTTGATAGATTGTACACTTTTATTGATCCACTCACACACACGCTCCGAGAATTTTCAAGATTTTATGCACGCCCACTACTAGGGTTGCCAGATCGGAAGAGCAAAATATCTGGATAAAATTTGAAAATGTCTGGATTTTGGGGTTGTTGTTGGGAGAAATAAATTTTAAAAATAAAAATGTAAAACAAAATTATTATTTTTTAAATTAATGGGCTACAAATATACTTAACATTGTTTACAGATAATGAAAAATATTATTTTTTAAATTAATGGGCTACAAATATACTTGCCATTGTTGACAGATAATAAAAATATTATTTTTTAAATTAATGGGCTACAAATATACTTACCATTGTTGACAGATAATGAAAAATATTATTTTTTAAATTAATGGGCTACAAATATACTTAACATTGTTGACAGATAATAAAAATATTATTTTTTAAATTAATGGGCTACAAATATACTTACCATTGTTGACAGATAATGAAAAATATTATTTTTTAAATTAATGGGCTACAAATATACTTAATATTGTTGACAGATAATTAAAGTAACTACACTTAATTTTGCGATTGCCACAGGTATTTGGCATTGGACTTCACTGAATGCACCAATTTGGATCCTTTAGTGGAATTCAGAAAAGATTTAAAATTTAAACAATTTTCGTCAAAGTTCAGTCTTATCAGTAGCTCTGCTTTTATTAAGTCAATAGCCATACGATTTCTCTCTTTGGTGTATAAATTATTTAGTAAGCTAAACACCCTTTTACAGTAAGCATTGCTTACAGGAATTGACAACACAAATGATGTAATCTTTTTTTTAATTTTTGATTTCGTTTTGTTTGCATTTTTTTAAAAAAAATATACCCAAATTTTGTCATTTGACATGTCTTTGTCTTTCGGAAGATGTTCAAATATCTCTCGAAGACAACAGTAATCAGTATATAAAGAATCTTGGTCAATATAGTTTGAAATATTGAGAATGTCGGGCAACGCTTCTTTTAGTTCTTCCCACGTAAATAAATTTGCACTTTTTAAAGAATATATAGCGAGTTTTTTATATAAAGAGTTCTCAGAAAAATCATAGCGTTCTTGTAAATATTTAATAACTCGTTTTAAAACTGTTCGGCTTCGGCGCAAAAAAGGTTTTTCTCACTATCAGAAACATTTCTTAATAAGTTTCTATTTTTACTGCCAAAGAATTTGTCGTCGAACCTGTTTTTAAGATGACTCAAGAGTTTTTTCATTACACTGTCAATTTCTAAGACAGTGCATGCATCACTTTCCAATGTTAAAATTATTGCTTGGAACTTCAACATTACGTTGTGCACAAAGTATAAATACGCTTCCGAAATTCCTTCCTGTTTGCATTCGTCGATTCCTTGACTATTATCAATATGGCTTATTGATAATGGGTTTGATTAGCTGAGTAGCCCTCAAATGTTTACGTCATGGTAACATTAATAAAAAAACTTTGTTCTTCTTGACAATTTTACGATATTTGAATTTAAATACGTTTTATGCAACATCATCTGAAAATATTTAAATAATTTTATATTCGATTTGCTTTAAAATTATATTCAACAATAATCTCCCAACAATACTTTAATTTTAAATGTGATTTATGTGATTTTTTACAAATATTGTGGATGAAAAGTACATTTCAAAGTATAAAATTATGTGAAAATCGCTCCGTCTATCGTCCTAGAACGAATCGAGAATCTTACTGACCTGTGCCGTGCTATCAGTGTCAGTTATCATTGTAATTTTATTATTCATATTTGACTACAAATTATCGTTTCAATGGATAATAAGAAGAGACGCGGATGCAATTACACAGTGTCTGAGAAAGACACTTTATTGGAATTGATAAAAAAGTAAGTAAATACTTAAATCGTCAATTGAAACAAACTGAACGACAGGGTAAGAAATTGTGTAATAAGAGAAGAGTGTGGTTTGCAAGATGATGTTGTGACCAGGATTAAGAAAGGAATGCTTCGGTGGTTTGGTCATGTGGAAAGAATGAATGAGGAAAGAGTGACAAAGAAAATTTATGTTGCAGAAGTGAATGATAGAGTCAGAAAGAGACGTCCTAGGCGAAAATGTATCGACCAAATTGGCGATTTATTGAAAACGGGCAAAATTAGGAGTATCCTTAACCGACGAGCCTGTATGCGTAGGTGTATGGATGTGAAGGAGGCGAGAGAGGTGTGTCAGGATCGTGCCAAATGGAAGTCTGTAGTCTCTGCCTACCCCTCTGGGTGACAGGCGTGAGTGTTTATGTATTTTATGTATGTATGAAACAAACTACACTAAATAGAACGCCCTTTTTGACATTGTGAATAAAATATTATAAGAGTTGTTCATATTTCAACGTGTGTTATATATTTCAGATATCAACATATAATAGAAAATAAAGAGACGAATGCCCACATTATTTTGAAGAAACGACAGGCTTGGGATTGCGTGTGCAATGAATTTAACGCTGTTGCTGTAAGCGGTGTTAGAACGTGGCAACAATTACGACACTTGTATGAAAACCTTAAACAACGATCTAAAAAGAATGTTGCCAAAGAAAATGTAATCTTTTATTTATTTTGGAGATAGAAGTTCAGCAGTGGACATAAAAAAGCTTTTTAATTACTGTTTACCTACTAACCATATACAAATTAATAAGTTACCATATTTCAATGAATCTACACTGTGATACAGCAAACTTTTGACTGATTAGTGTTTTTATTTTGTTATTTTGTAAAAGATTGATATTAAAATAAAATGAAAATTAACCAGAAAAATATGTATTTATTAATGACGTCCTCACTATAAAGTTTTGATTTATTTCAAAGCTGGGTTGTACCATAACTTCTTCCTCTACGATAGCTAAAGGAATTTCGTCCTCAATTACATGATCCTGCTTTGAAATAGCAATATTGTGAAGTACTGCACATGCCACATTAATAGGTGGAATGTTGGTAGTTTTCAGTCCTAACCCATTGTGGAGACAGGAAAATCTTCTTTTAAGAACACCAAATAGCCTTTCCATTGGATTTCTGGTTCTGATTTGTGAACGCTTATATGCTTCTTCAGCTTCTGTCCTTGCATTTAAAATTGGTGTTAACAGATAGGGGCGACATGGATAACCACTATCGCCCAGAAGTACCATAGGGGTAAAATCTCCTCGCTCTAGTTGGGCACATAATGGTGAGTCATTAAAAATTGTACTATCATGTACAGAGCCTGGCCATCTTGCAATGATATTTCTTATACGCAATTTTGCATCACATACAACTTGCACATTCAAGGAGAAGTAGCCTTTTCTATTTCGGAAACTTTCAGATTTAGCTCCCCCCTGTAAAGACATTTAATAACAATGAGTGGCTATAATTTTTAATGATATGACAATGTACACGTAAAAATATAGCTCATGATAAGAATAGGTATCTGGAGAATTAATTTCAATGTGTACAGTCAATAGCACCCATCACTCTTGGAAATCCAGCAATCACATTAAAGTCATTTACTACTTCTAAACGTTCCTCAGCAGATGGCATACTTATATAACGAGATCTCATACTTGCTATATGTTCTGTAACCCTATGCCCGATTCGATGCACAGACGGTTGCTCAATATGGAATATGTCCCCTATAACTCGTTGATAGCTGCCTGTAGCGTAATACCGAAGTGTTATCAATATGTGATCCACGGACTGCAAAGATCTATTTCTTTTTGTCAAAGGTTTTATCTTGCTACCGAATACAGAATCCAAATGTAACACAGTTCCTTTTGAAACGCGGAACCGCGCACGAAATTCTTTGTCGTCATATTTATTGAAAGCGTCAAGCTTGATATCATTTCTTCGACTTCCGAAAGGCGTTTCGTTGTCCGAAAGAGAAGATAACGACGAAACAGACATATTTAGCACATAAAAAACACTTTTAATAGATTTGAGAGTCCTCGCTACCACACTTAATAATAACGAGTACTTAAATCAATTTGACGTTTGATTTGACAGCCAAAACGCGTTGAGTGATATTTCAGTATACCAATTTTTAGTTGAGTAGGGTTTAAGCACAACTCAATTTGAGTCACACTCAAATTTAAGAGATGCTTAATATTTAATTATGAGAATACGAATTTAGAGTTTAGGAGCTGCTCAAATGTTTGAGAAGCCGTTAAATATTTGAGGGACGTTTGAGTATTCGGGCATGAATTATTTACACCATAATTTACCGAAGCGTTATCCGCGCTGTACGCAGTCAACTGAGTCAATTGTAAATCATTATCTTCTGTGACTGTCTTGATTTTTTTATATATATATTTTGACGATTCAAATGGATCCTCATAAAAATCTAGCAGCCTTTTAGATATCCCTGTATTAAAAAATTGCACAGCGTAAGGATAGGTTTTGATGTTTCCAACGTTAGAAGCATCGCTTCCTACCGAAAAATACTCAGCGTCCTTAAGTTCAGTAACGACTTGTTCCTGTGCATATGGGACGAGCACATTTCGTGCTATTGCTGCAGCTTTTGTACGTCCACAAGATATTTTAGCAGCAATTTTGCTATCAGAATACACAGCAGAAGCTAGTTTCATCTGACAGTCCAGGCTGTTATAACTTATACCATGAGTTAAGTTGTGAAATACAAGCATTAATTCAGCTTTTGAGATCTCATTTCCCCCATCGCTATCTTTTTTTACCAAGAAATTTTGAAGATTACCTGATTCCACTTTCTGTGACGACTCCTGTTTACCGTTTTTTTTGTCTGCTTATGTTTGTCTAAACCACGACTCCCCTCATACTTGACTGAAATATCAGTTTGACACAATTTACATATAACAGTAAAATCATCTTTTTTTGTATCCATTTGAAGTAGTCTGGATGATTTTCCCAGTTATTAGAATAAACTGTATAAAATTTTTTTTCTTAGATGGCCCAGGTCCGATCTCCTTGTCTATCTTTTCTGGTGATTTAGATGCCGACATTATCTAAAACAAAACAGCATTACTGCTACCGCCACCACCTTGACACCAACAAGTCACATTACATCTTGCCAAATACACTCAAGTGCCACCAAGCCATAAAAATAAAATGATATGAATTTAAATAAAATATTTAAATCTTCTAGAGGTAATACGAAGCGAAATTAATTAAAAAACTTAGACCACTATGATTTGACCGCGATAGTATCATTAATAATCTCGTTTATTCATTTAATAAACTTACTTATTTATTAAAATTTTTGAATTTTTAAAAACTTAATATAATTAATAATATTGTCTATTAATGATTTTTGATGACAATTAAATTTTAATTATCAAAAATTTATTATGTAAGAACAGACGATAAGGGACCAGTTTTCAACAAAGAATGAAATACAGGTAAGTAAATTCGACAATAAATACTTATCGATCAAATAAATTCTGTAAGTAGATATTATTTGTCAATCGCGCGTAAATACATGCGTAGGTACTAAAATTGAGCTACCATAAGATCGTTCGACAATATGACATGCTTTAAAATTGAAATCATAAATAACGAAAATAAAACACAAAAAAAACTTACCTATTCGAGTTTAGTGTCAATAATTTCCTTAAGCCAATATTCTTGCGTCCTGATATCTACCTTACGTTACTGTTAGAAGCTGTGAAATAGTGCGCATGCGACGAAGTAAACCTACGAATCGGGCGAACGCGGGGTTACAGCTTACAGCGTTCCACTGTTCCACGCCACGCCACCCGCCCCTGCCCTCGTTTAACATTGACCGCATCGATCACTAATAAACAACTTTTCTTTGTTCTTTATAAGTGATCGATGATTGATCGGGACCGGCGTTCCATTCGAAAATTGAGTGGACGTGAAAGTGCGCGACTATTTTAAATTATTATTTTGTACAGAACTTTACGAGGAGCTGATTGTCGGGAATTTTTGAGTTTTGTCGGGAGATCATTTAAAATGTCGGGAGAATCCAGACGAATCCCGACCATCTGGCAACCCTACACAGTACAGATTACTTGCAAGTGGCACAAAAAGAATTCCCGTCGATTTATGTTCTCCTATTTTTGTGTTCAATTAAATCAAAGATTACATTAAAAATACTAAATAAATACAAAGCGTGGAATAAACTCTTATCAGACGTCCACACAGGGCACGATCCGAGGGGGAAATTCTGTTTTGAATTTTCTCTATCCACAGTGAATTTTTTTTTCAGATCTTACAGCATATTATCTTGCCAAAAATCTCTCCGAGTGGTCTCCAATATCCCGGGATAATATTCGCCGATTGCAAATATAGGATAATGTAAATAGAAGTCAACTTTACTAGATCAATGATTTTGTAGCATGTTAGTTTTATTTTACTGTAACGTATTTTTTTTAATTATGTACATGAATATAAATAAGACAATGATTTATATCAGAAATATTTATTAACTTTTAACAAAACACTTTGGAAAAGCAGTACTTAACCATTTTTTATAATTTTATTTTAATAATTATCATATATTTTCCTCCTCGCTAATAGCAATATTCATATCACTTGCATTACCGTCTTCGCTATCAGTGCAACTGGACGAGTCAGAATTATCTAGTAAATTAATTATCATTTCGTCCATAGCGTCGTCGAGTATTCGATCGTGTTGACAGTACTCATCATCAATTTTCTGGACATGTGTATCACATGCTACCCATTTTTCTACTGGAAATTCACTAAATAATTTCTCTAGTGCAGTTTTCTTCTTATCTAAATTACTGTCAAGTTCGTTTCTCGAAAGTTGTCCCTTGATATCCCCCCAAACCAGCTCTATGGGGTTCAAGTCTGGGTGATACGACGGAAGTCTTAATACTTCGTGGCCTGCAGCTTTTAGCACTTCATCAATCTTGTAAACATTTTCAGATCCATGTTGTTTGATCAACTTGAGCAGGTCACATATTCTCAAGGAACTGTCAAATTCCACATTATATCTTTGCAGCCAAGCCTGCATCGAAGCTTTTGTATTTGCCATGATTGGTTTTTTGTCTTCCTGGACTGAATGATACGCGGCGTTATCCATAACAATTACAGATCTTGGAGGTAAATTTGGCAATAATTTTTCTTTTGTCCATTTATTGAAATTTACAAAATTTATATCCGAATGATAATCCCCGGTTTTAGTTATTGATTTAAAAATTAAAAGAGCTCCGTCAACAAATCCAGCCTGGCCTCCTGCATGTACAATAATTAATTTCGGTCCTTTGCCAATATGAGCCAGCACTCCACGTTCTTCTTTTGATTGCCAGCACGATGGAACATTTAAGGAGGAATTGACGTATGTTTCATATGGGTAAACAATGGATCTCTTGTCTCTTCGATGTTTTTGTATCGCATTCAGATATTTCCATCGCCAAGAAACATTGTTTGGTTGTTCAATAAGCAGCTTTCTCTTCGACTGACGTTTTTTTTAAATTTAAAGCTAAGTTTGTGCAGTAATAGTCTCAAATATTTTCGACCGCAATTTAAAATTCCTTCTTCTTTAAGTTTAGCATTTAATGTTTTTAATGTGGGAACCCTCTTGTAAATAGTGTAAAATTGAGTAATTTTTCGTCTCACTACTCCTTCAGTAAAATTATCTATTTCAATCTTTTTCTTTCGTACCTGTTTAATTTTTTCTGGGGGATTTAAAAACCACGCTATTTTGTTCGTATCATTTCCTTCTTTGACAATTTTACTCACAGAAAAGATATTCCTGTTGCTTGCGCGACCAATTTATTCAAGTTTACGTCTTGTTGATATTCCGTAGACGATTGATCTTGTTTTCTTAGTTTAAAGAAAGAATGTACATTGTACACCAATTGTTTCGCTTGCTTGTTAATTTGCTTGGCAAAAATCTTAGAGCGTCCATCTTCAGCATTCATCTCGGTTTATAATCTCGTGTGCATTTTGTTCCGAGCGTCCGTAACCAATTGACCCACTGCCCGCTGCGAAAGCCGCGAGCGCACTGAAAAATGTCACTCGATCTCGACCGTCCTCGCACTTCACCCCGAAATTCCCTAAAATCTTTCCGCGCCCACCTTTCTTGCCCCGCGAGCGATCCGCCAGTTATGTGGTTTACTTATAATTAGACGCCCGTTTATAACCTGACCTGACCTGAAATAACAATGATATTATGATATTACAGTAATCATAACATAAGTAAAAACTTAACTCATCCGAGTAAAGATTAAGCCTTCTGCCAGATGTCCTAGTAGGTCTCGGCATCGCAGCAGCAAATACCTCGCTCTCGTCCTCCGAAGAACTAGCTATAGCTGATAGGCTACCACAAGAACCAGCTGCTCCACTGGGACCAGTCATCCCACTAGGACCAGCAACCGGTTCGTCAAGGACCGGGGATCGCACATACGGGAGCACAAATGTTTCGTTCTAAGCAGTAAGCGGTGTAAAAACAAATTTAGTGATCCGCAAATAGTATCGATACTTGAGTAGTATCGATACTTTCATTTCAATACAAGTATTTTTGTACTCGATACACTTTTTACGAATAACAAAGGCCGTACAAAATGTACCTACCTTTGTTATTAAAAAGTAAATTTTGCTTTTTTTATTTAAAGTTACACAAATGAAGACTTTTTTCCCTACTATCAATACCGTATGTCATCAATATTGATACTTCTGTATAGTGCCTATCACTACCTTCGGATTGGACTGCCAATTTGATCGATTACAGCGTGTTGTCTCTTTCTATCGCACTATTGAGTATATTTGATGATAATAATAATAATAATAATTTCTTTATTTGACACTTATAATTTCATACAACATCATTGAGCCCTGACTCCCAAACTAGGATACCCTGTATTTCAGGAGTCAGTTCCTTCCCATTCAGTAACTCTTTGTGTCAAAATACATTAGAGAAATGTTGATATATATTTAATACACAG